CACCCCTCCAAACACCTTTACGTGCATTTCCTCATTTGTTATAGAATCCTTTTGAGTTAAGGGTATTTTATGGTACCACCCAGGGTCATAGAGCTAATGAATATTAGAGTCAGGATTTGAATTAAGGTCTTCCACAGGACCTTTACCTGTAGGAAGGAGGATACATACTGATTTTATTAGATCCTAGGTCCTGGAAGAAATTGCAAGAGATATAAGTGTGGACCATGATGTAAAATGGCAGTCACATTTACTTTGGCTCAGTCAGCTTTATCCCATTTGAGCATGGGATACTCTTTCAGTATTTTATGAATCTTTTCATCCTACTAGGTAGCAAGGAGGCATAGAGTGAAATGCTAAGGACAGTGAAAGCTCCTTGATTATCCCGGAACACAGCCAGTTGTGGCGGTCACACACTCCATCACTGCGTTAAACTCAGCAGGTTCTACTGCTGAGGCCCAGAGTGAGGAGGATAGCAAACTTAATGTCTGCATTTTAGTAAAAAGCTAGGGGAACAGTAATGTAAACAAGGAAAGTATAAATAATTCAGAAAACGTGTCTTTGATGGGGTAACGAAGGTTTGAAAAACAAATCTTTGGTAGGGTGATGAATATTCTTCTAGAATATTTGGAGTCAGAATATAAAATTTGCAGAATCCAAATTTCAAAGATTCATCTCCAAGGGTATGACCTCATTATTTTTAAGATTGACATTCTGTCACTTTGGTGAATTCAGAAGTTGAAATACCTTAGTTGGTCCAAGGCTGACATGCTGGGATAGCAAACAGTTGAGTGGGTGCTGGGAGAGCTGAAACCCTAGCAGAGAACCCAAAATAAAGACCACAGGGTGTGTAGAATACATGGGGGAACGTTGAAACCATCAAGATCAACAGTACTGTCTGAGCCACCAGCAAACCCCAAGACTGTACACTTATGTCCAAAGGCATGAGAGGATGAAAAGGGTGTTTGCAAAGTTAACATCAGTATGTTGTTCAGAGATTGGATTCGGGATACAGTTCCCAAGAAAAGTTGCACCTTTTTAAATGATTTTGAAATTGAGAGAAATCAGCACTTCATTTCCAGTTAACCGTAGAAGGCATCTGAAAATGTGAAATAAGGGTATGCAGAGAACATAACTTTCTTTCCCATGAAATAAATTGTTCTATTTATGATACTTCATGGATCTCTTCACACCTTCATTGGGATATTATCCTCATTTGGGTGCTACACAAATGATTTATTCAACACTGCTCCAAAAAGACTAGTCTTTTGCTTTCTTTTATTTTTTCTCACTTCTTGATTTCATGAAGAATATTTATTCTAGTCTGCTGTCCACTAGCATCTTTACTTCAGCCAAACTGGGAAGTTTTCCCTAATGATTCTCCAGATCTCAAGAGCCAACAGCTGTCACCCCCTCCTTTATTTCTGTCCTGTGTGTGTGTGTGTGTGTGTGTGTGTGTGTGTGTGTGTGTGTGTGAAGTGACAGTTTATGATTACATGTCTATAGAAATTCAGGAAGAGAGTGAAGGTGCTAGGGCAGCATTTATTCCTTTAAAAGCAGAGGACTTGGATATCTGGGTAATACAGATCATGACTGGGGACTTTCCAGGTGGCCCAATGGTAGAGAATCTGCCTGCCAAAGCAGGAGATGCAGGAGATGTGGGTTCAGTCCCTGGGTCTGGAAGATCCCCTGGAGGAGGGAATGGCAACCCACTCCAGTATTCTTGTCTGGAATATTCCATGGACAGAGGAGCTTGGTGGGTTGCAGTCCACGTGGCTGCCAAAAGTCAGACATGACTGAGTGAATGAGCACACACCGACAGACCGTGACTATATAGCCTTGGCAGAAGAACGAGGCGTTTTCTACTGCTTTTCCAGGCCTGCTAATCATCTTCTTAAATCCAGTACCATCACCTTTTTAGCAAATGGAAATTTCTTTAAGAACAGGTGAGACTTACTGCCTGGTGGTGTGAGGTTTAATGGGGGGTGGGGGGTGGAGTTTGTACCATTTTTGCATTTTTAAAATGAGAAATTGAGATCAGCTACACTTTATATATCTAGTGAGATGACATTTTAATTGGATTTTGATCACTCTCCCTTTATAAAAAGGCAAACGGTATTGTGCCACTCTTATTAGTTTTTAAAAAATCAAATTATATATTCAGAATTACAGACTTATTCTTTAACATAGAGTAGCTCTAAGATGTCAGAGGTAGACTTAGGAGCACAGAAATTTTTGCATTATTTTAAGGTAATTATCTGGACTCTTTAGTCCCTTGGAATCATTCCATATTGGAACTTTGCCTACTGGCAGAGTATTTATACTGTATTTATAATTTTAAGATATATTTCACTCTTCACTATAGTATGTAAAATTTTAAATTAAGAATATAAATTATGTGAGTTTATAACCTACCACTTTTATTGTAGCTTTGATATATAGCTACTGAAAATCTAAGACTTAATTCTGTACAATTTGTTACTTTATCTATGATGACTGTGTATTAGATGAATGATATCAAAATATACCCTGAACAGAAGTTATAAGGTTTGATAAAATTTTAAGGGCACTGAATCACACATTCTGCTACATCTTAATTTTTTTTTGTTAACTTATACAGAAAAATGAGGGGCTTCCCAAATCATGCTAGTGGTAAAGAAGCCTCCTTGCCAATGCAGGAGGCTTAGGAGATATGGGTTCGATCCCTGGGTTGGGAAGATCCCCTGGAGTATGAAATGACAACCCACTCCAGTATTCTTGCCTGAAGAATCCCATGGACTGAGGAGCCTGGAGGGCTACGGTCCATAAGGTTGCAAAGAGTTGGACACAAGTGAAGCGACTTAGCATGCACATACGGAAAAATGAGGCTTTGGAAAGAAAATGGGCTGCTCTTTTTTTTTGCTCTCCAGATTATTCTAAACTGAGTTGTTACAATCAGTTTAATTTAATACTAGAAAACAAAGAATTCTAAATGTGTTTTTGAAATTAGGTTTTTATTAAATTAGAAATAAACATTGCATCATCAATGATGGAAATTATGACTTATTAATTTTGCTGATGAATCCTGCTGTTCAAAAAGCAATTCAAGTGTTGGTCTATGAATAACATTTTCAATATACTGTCAAAATGGATTGACCAAAAGAAAGTTGAAAATATATGCAACTAAGTTTGCCCTGTCCTTTTCCAGATCATGGAATTTTTCTTGCTTTCTTATATAATTTGATATGAAATTACTAACAGTATGTAATACTATTATCAACAAGGTAACAACTATATGAGCACTAGGTTAAAATCTTAATTTTTCAAATATTTCCAGATATTGATGAGGGCAGTGAATCATTTGCCTGTGGTGATCATGCAGTGTCTAAAAAAATGAATGGTAGCTATAACTGTTCCTGCAGAGAAGGTTATCAGACATCCACAGGAAATCACAGTTTACACCTATTGATGGCATTTATTGCCAAAATAAATATGCTATTTAATTTTATGTATTATCAAAGCACTATGGGAACTTCTCTGGTGGTCCAGTGGTTAAGACTTCACCTTCCAATACAGGAGGGTGCAAGTTCAATCCCTGGTTGAGAAACTTAAGATCCCACATGCCTCACGGCCAAAAAAATGAAAGTCACTCAGTCATGTCCAACTCTTTGCAACCCCGTGGACTATATAGTCTATGGAATTCTCCAGGCCAGAATACTGGAGTGGGTAGCCTTTCACTTCTCCAGGGGATCTTCCCGACCCAGGGATCAAACCCAGGAATCCCTCACTGCAGGTGGATTCTTTCTTTTTTTTTTTTCATTTATTTTTATTAGTTGTAGGCTAATTACTTTACAATATTATAGTGTTTTTTGTCATACATTAACATGAATCAGCCATGGATTTACATGTATTCCCCATCCCGATCCCCTCTCCCACCTCCCTCTCCACCTGATCCCTCTGGGTCTTCCCAGTGCACCAGGCCCGAGCACTTGTCTCATGCATCCAGCCTGGGCTGGTGATCTGTTTCACCCTAGATAATATACATGTTTCGATGCTGTTCTCTTGAAACATCCCACCCTCGCCTTCTCCCACAGAGTCCAAAAGTCTGTTCTATACATCTGTGTCTCTTTTTCTGTCTTGCATATAGGGTTATCATTACCATCTTTCTAAATTCCATATATATGTGTTAGTATGCTGTAATGTTCTTTATCTTTCTGGCTTACTTCACTCTGTATAATGGGCTCCAGTTTCATCCATCTCATTAGAACTGATTCAAATGAATTCTTTTTAATGGCTGAGTAATATTCCATAGTGTATATGTACAGGTGGATTCTTTACCACCACCACCAGGAACAAATTCAATAAAGACTTTAAAAATGGTCCACATCAAAAACAAAATCTTGAAGCACTATATAAAATATTACTGCATGGTTGTGAAGTGTCAAAGAGCTACACCTTCCAAGAAACGTGCCAATAGTCCTTTTTCTATAAAATGAAATAATGGAAGATGTTTTAGTTAATGGCACATGTAGATCACATGTTTTATGTAATTGCTATTTAGTCACTAAGTCGTGTCCAACTCTTGTGACCATGGACTGTAGCCTGCCAGGCTCCTTCTGTCCATGGGATTTCCCAGGCAAGAACACGGGAGTGAGTTGTCATTTGTTTCTCCAGGGGATCTTCCCAACCCAGGGATCAAACCCCATCTCCTGCACTGGTAGGCGGGTTCTTTACCACTGATCCCATATACCCTATTTCCTTTGAATAACTATAATTTTCTATTTTTCATAAAATAGTTTGCATTTTAATGAATAAAAATAAGTGATTTTTTAATATTAGTAAAACAAAATTAATAATAAAAATGTTTTAAATAAATAAACTTTCATGAATAAATAAAAATAAAACTCAAATGTTAAGAATGTGCTTTTAATGTCTAAATAAGTGAGCAAAATCGTTGGAATCAATATAATTATCTTAGGGAAAATATTTTTTGAAACTTAATACATAACTATTTTTTTCTACAGAAATTGTGAATCCAGACTGCCATTTAGATAATGCCTGTATTGCCGAAAATGTTAATAAAACTTTAACAAAAGTGAGTAAAAGAGTTGAATTAAATTTTATTCTGTTTTGACATTTTGGTTTTAGTTAAAATCTTTCCAAAGGCACATTTTTTGAAGAGTAACAAACCGTTGATCTTCATGTAGAATTGAAAATATTTACATATAGAGATCCAATTATTTCATTTGGGTGTCACATAGGATTAATTTGAAAATCCCCAAAATACTGAAGAAGACATATATTTAATGTAAGTTACTTTTTCACTGTTCTGTACACTGGAAGTTATTTCAACGTGTTAAGAAACTTGATGGATAAAATAGTAGAAACACATTTTGATCACAGGCCATTTCCACATTCTAAGGAGACATAGTTCATGCAATTAGATTTTGTACACCAAATACTATTTCAAAGAGTAAGATGTCTGTGAAATTATTGTCCTATGATTAGAAGTGAGTTTCAACATGACACATTAGCAATCAAGTAAAGTAAATTGCCATTTTATCATGTAAAAAATTTTTCTGGTTTACTAAAACCTAATTCAAATTGTCATAATTTATTATAAATTTTAAAAGCTAATTTAAAATGATAAATTCAAACGTGCATTGCCTTTCTGAAGTAACTTCTATGCTTTTTCAGCTATTTGCTAATCCTTTGTAAATAATTTCAGGTTTCATTGCTTCATGTTAGGGTTTGGTTGTAGTCATAGTTTACATGTAGGAGAGAAAAACAATACATTTAACCTGTAACCTGTATTCTTGCAAAGATCCAGTAGTGCTTTAAGCTGGTTTTCTTTTTCTGCGCTCATATTTGTTCAGATTAGACACATAGAAGAACCTGTGGCTTTGCTCCGAGAAGTCTATAGAAATTCTGTGAAAGATCTTTCACCGATGGATATAATTACATACACAGAAGTATTAGCTGAATCATCCCCATTACTGGGTTATATGAACAGCATGAATTCAGACAAGGACACCTTTTCTAATTCAACTCTGACTGTAAGTATCTTGAGCTTTAACTCAATGTAAGTTTAAAATTTTTCTTACATCTGTGATTAATGTAAGATTCCAACATTTTTAAAAGGTACACTTTTTTCCAACAGGAATTTGTAAAAACTCTGAATAATTTTGTTCAAAAGGATACATTTACAGTTTGGGACAAGTTATCTACAAATCAAAGAAGAACTCATCTTACAAAACTGATACATGCTGCTGAGCAGGCTACCTTAAGGATATCTCAGAACTTTCAGAAGACCACTCAGTTTGATACTAATTCAAGTGATATAGGTAAGAACTCAAGGTCAATTTCAGGGCAATAGTGTTTTCCAGAGAAGCCATTCTCAAAAGAGATGAAAGGTATCTGAACTGCTGTTAATTAAACTGGCAGTTGTTTATCAGTGCAGACATAAATGACGGTGCATATCACAAGAGTGGGTATGAATGAAGTTTGAATAAAAAGGATGAATACATGAGATTTGTTTCCTGCTTGCAACTTTCACCTTTTCCTATTTCTGAACTGTTTAGCATTTAAATGCTCAGAGAACCTTACTTCCTTGTCATCTCATGACTTGGCAGGATCTGTCTTGACTGGTTGATAGCACAAAAGATTTTCTGGATGTAATAAATTTAAAGTTAAATTTTTATTGAATTATGACACATATAAAGACAAATATATGTATCAAATGAATATAAGTTGATGAATTTTCACAAAATGAACACATCTGTATAATAAACCTCAGAAGACCCCTCATCCCCCTTGCCAACCACTCCCTAACCCCTAAAGGTAATGCCATCCTGACTTCTAACACCACTTCACAAGCATAATTTTTATTATTTCTGCAATAAGCTGATTCTTATTTTTAATGCTGAAATCCTTTGGGCATATATCTTTGTCATGAATGTAGTATATTTTAATTTCTCATTAGGAATCCTTTGCCTTTCAGTAATATAAAGCAATTAACATAGCAAAATAGAATGTTTCCTGCTTTATGAAAGCTCATGCTTGACACTTTTTTTTTTTCATTTATTTTTATTAGTTTGAGGCTAAGTACTTTACAATATTGTAGTGGTTTTTGCCATACATTGACATGAATCAGCCATGGATTTACATGTATTCCCCATCCCGATCCCCCCTCCCACCTCCCTCTCAACCCGATCCCTCTGGGTCTTGCCAATGCACCAGGCCCGAGCACTTGTCTCATGCATCCAGCCTGGGCTGGTGATCTGTTCTCTTGAAACATCCCACCCTCGCCTTCTCCCACAGAGTCCAAAATTCCGTTCTGTACATCTGTGTCTCTTTTTCTGTTTTCATGCTTGACACTTTTAAGAATCTGGATCAAGCTGAGGTTGCCTGTAAAGTTGTTCTGAGGCAACAAGGTACACTTTCTGAAATAATCATCTCATACACCTCTATTATATTTTCTGGATACTATCCTGCTGTGCAGTAGTAGATAAACAAAAATCATTATGTCATCGGGATTCACCAGTTACTCAAAATTAAGATAACAAGCATTGTGACTCATATATAGAAGCTTAAATTTCTATATCCGTTCATGAAAAAGGTGACTATGCACAGGTAAGGAAATTATCACTCAAGAATTTAATTCAGTCACTCTGTATATAATAAATTATGTTGTAGATATCATCCTCTAATACATTGTAATTGCTTGTCTGCTTTAGTAATTATGATTTATAGCTTCTTTGTGTACATATTTTCTTTTATTAGTACAGATAGAATTAAACAATGAATGCTGTAGTGTAATAAAAAAACTAAACTTGAATCAAATTTTTAAATACAAATTATAATGTCTAGACATCATGTTCAGAATATGTTCATTCTACCTGATATAATTAAGAGTTGAAATACAATAATGATGGATCAAATTCTCTCTAACTAAATATATTAATTAAACTGATTTCAGAGAACTTATTATTTTCATGTTTTTGTTTCAGCTCTCAAAGCTTTCTTTTTTGATTCACATCACATGAAATATATTCATCCCCATATGAATATGGATGGAGATAATATAAAGATATTTCCAAAGAGAAAAACTGCATATGATTCAAATGGTAGGACTTTGACAAGCTTATAAACAATATTTCAATGTTTTGCAATAAATACCATACATTTGCTTGTATCATATGTGCTTATAACATGTGTGGTTTTCCATAGAAAAATACTTTCTGTTTATACATAGAAATTCTATATTTGTATTTGAGATTTTTATTATGATAAAAATACCTGGGGAGGATTTTAGCTTATATCTAGATCCTTCTTGTCCTTGACCCTCCAAATCTGTAGTTATCTAATATTGTTAGGATCCCAGTGGAAATATACAAGGGAACTGTGGTTTTATTCCTCATTTTGCACCAGTCAGTAGATGCTATAATTTTCATAAAATCCTTTTAACAGTTCTTCTTCAGAAATCCTTAATATTCCTCATTGTGAGCCTGAATTTGGGATTGTGTGAGGAAGACGAATAGAAATAGTTTTCAAAAAAGGTAGAAAGTTATTGTTTAAGCTTGAATTTCTCTGTTCATTTCTTAGTCTTTGTACAGTAACTCTTCAACTAAACTAAAGGCCGGGTTTCTTAAGAAATGTGATCCAAGAGTGCTAGTACTAGCAGATGACTTTATAATTATCTAACTACTATCCTCATTTTATGGACAAAAAAACTAAAGCACAAGCAGTTAATGGATTTGTCTCTATATACGTTTAACAGATAATACAGAACTAAAACTTGAAGGGAAGGAGTTAACATAGAAATCAGCCCTGACCAGATTTTCCTGTCACCTAACTACAGACAAGCTAGCAGCTGCTCTTCTGGTTTAACCATTTGTCTGTCCTCAGTGCAATGTACTTAGAAAAAAAAAGTAACAACCCTGATGATAATAGAAATATTATTGTTCTCATATAGGTCAAAATATATTACCTAAAGAAAGCATGATTATAATATTTTCTTCAAAGCAAGTATAAGTGATCATACATAAAATGGAAAATATATGTAATAATACACATATGTCACTTTATAGACATCATTTTATTTAAAAAAATACATTGTCTTTATTGTTAAAAAGCAGTTTGCGCTTTCATTCTCAGAAAAAATATCCTTAAAAAGATTTTTACAGCACTAATGGGGAATGTTTTTCTAATCTATTGATATTATCCTCTCACTTTTTTTCTTGTCATTTTTTATTTAAAAGTAGGGAACAGATGGCCATAAAAAAAGCAAAAATAACTAAGCCATACTGCCATTGAACCCATGGTTCTTACCCCATTATATCATATTCTAATTAACCAAGCACACACATAATATTTAGGAGCAAATCCAAAGAATGTGTTAAACTGTTGTATTGTCAAAGACAATTTGAGTAGGATTTAGAAACATGAGAATAAAGACATTGAAAATACTTATCATAGTGACAGATGATAAAATTGTCATGGAATTAATATCTCAAGGAGATCCTGTCTGAGTGTACGGTAGGTTTGTTATATTTCGTAATCATGCATGCAAACTCTGACATTTGAAAGGGACAGTAATACTGGCTCTCAAGAATGCAGAGGAAGAAAATTTGTTTTCCTCAAGGTTGAATCTTTAAAAGAAGGACAAGTGTAACAAACTGATCAAACCCATTCAATGATGTCTACATGCAATTATTCATTTATTGACAAAATCCGTTAATGACAACATGAATTAGTTAAAAGCTGCATAATGTCATTAGTAGGAAAATACAGGAGGCACAGATGGATTTTTAATATTTTTTATGTACTGAATTTGGTGTCTGTTGTTAATGAATGAACTAGTTTACAAAAATAGGTACAGAACTGATATGAAAATTAAAAGCCAGATCAGGCCTAGAATTAGTGAGAAATTATGGAAATTAAAATAAGTTCCAAATGATAAAAATGAACAAATATTAAAACTATATTCAGAAAAAAAATGTAAAAAATATTTTGAACCATTCCATGTGGTATGCATCTTCTTTTACCCAAAATTGATATTAAAAAATAGTTTCCTTTAGAAAGGATAGGAGGGATTCATAGTTTTAAACCCATGTTATCTTCATGCTCCTTCATTTGATTTTGAACCATCCCCTCCTACAACCTCTGAGAAGTTGCTTTTGCATGAACTTGTTCAACTGGACTAGGTCAGGTTCACCTAAGAGGTTTCCAGGTTCTGCTTCTGACCCAGGTCTGTCCATAGCAAATGCTGGGTTAGTTGTCAATCTCCTAGAGCCATCATAATTTCGCTAGTTCAAACATGGTATACTAACATTATTTCTCTGAGCTGGCAGTTTAGGAAAATATGTAACATATCTGAATGTCAGCAAGACTGTTAGTGGTGTCTTTGGTACCTTTCTCGACTGAGATACAAAACATAGTGATATAGTTTTGCAAATTCTAGCTCACATAATGATATCCAAAGAATACTATTTACCAATAAATATATTAAATAAATTGTGATGTGGATAGTTCTAGCTTTGTATCACAGTCCTTTGTTTTTGATGACATTGTCAACATTTGTATTAATGATTGTGATTAATTTATGCTTTTCAGATTATTTACTGGTGTCACAAATTTGAGGAAACAAATGAATATGATAGAGTTATTCCTAAGTTGTCGAAGAATCAAAGCAAGCAAATAATGTTTCCAGTTAATGAGCATAGCAATAATCATCTTAATATAGCTTCTTAAATTTAACAGACAACTCTCTCATATAATGACATTACGTGGTCTCCGTCTTATCCAAGTAAATAACCAGGGGGAATATCACTATTCACTCATGATGTTTTACATGAGAATGTTCAAGTTTACCCAGGAATAGACAAGTATAAGCCATGACTAAAACCAGAACTCCTAATTCTAAATAAATAAATTCTGAATATAAATTCCTCAATTTACTGTCTATTCTTCTGTACAGCAGAGAAGTTACATGACCTAAGTGAAAATGGGAATTTTAAAAGACAATAGATGCTGATGTTGAGTTGTTCACACAATTAATATCAGTGATAATGAACTGCCACAAAAACCGAGGCAATTTGAGATCCATTAAAGTAGGTGCAGAGTCCAGGCTAAGAAAAAAATAGTCATGAGATAGTATGGACTGATTGGTAACAGTCTTGGGTTATCTGCTGATGTGCTGCATCTGGGGAGTGTGAGGGTGCAGATAAATGGCTGTCTTGAAAGAGAATAAATTCCCTCCCCTGAGACTGCATAACTGTATGTCATCAATGTAAATAGGAAACATCTCAGTGGGCGTGAGATGGAGCTAGTGCCATCTACAAGTCTTCAGTTATAAACTTTCTTAACACTATAAATCTTTTTTGTTATACTGTAATTTTTTACCAGTATCTTTCTAATTCGTATACTTGCCCAGCAAAGTAGTAAGTCAAGATTTTATTTTTCAAGTAAGTGTACTTAACACCTTGGTTCTTACTCAGCACTTGTATATAATTTATCTAGGACAAAATTTCTTCTAACTATAATTTGTGCCAAGGAAATGCTACAGTCCATGATCAGAGTCATAGGGGTCAGAGAACCTGTTTTAATATTGTTTGATGATGTGAGCATAGATATAATAAGACCCACATTCCAGTATCTGGGAATGTGTATAACTGCCTCTTTTATGTTTATTTTAAGAATTTTTTCTGAATACCTTTATTTGATTGACAGGCAGTGTTGCCGTTGCATTTTTATATTATAAGAGCATTGGTCCTCTGTTTTCATCATCTGACAACTCATTGGAACCTCAAAGTTATGATAAAGCTGAAGAGGAGGGAAGAGTCATCTCTTCAGTAATTTCACTCTCAATTAGCTCAAACCCACCCACATTATATGAACTTGAAAAAGTAACATTTACATTAAATCACATAAAGGTAAGTTGAAATTCCAGTGACTATTGATTATTATTGTGAAACATTCAAAGAAATGAGTTTTTTTGTTTTGTTGTTGTGTCACTTTAATTGTATGTGAATTCTTGAGTTTAAACCTACAAATTCAAATAAAAAGAGTAAAGTGATTTCAGCTAATTTTTCTATAAAATATTTTGGGGTCTTCCCCGGTGGCTCAGAATTTGCCTGCCAATACAGGAGACAAGGGTTCGATCCCTGGTCTGGGAAGATCCCACATGCCACAGAGCAACTAAGCACTTGCATCTCAACTATTGAGCTGTGCTCTAGGGCTCAGGAACTGCAGCTATTGAGCCCACATTCAGTAGCCCAGCTACTGAAGCCCACATCCTCGAGCCCATGCTCTGCAACTAGAGAAGCCACTGCAAAGAGAAGCCCACACAAGGCGGCTGAAGAATAGCCCCTGCTTGCTGAAAGTAGAGAAAGCCCACCCAGCAGTGAAGATCCGTCACGGCCAAAAATATGAATAAATGATATCTATTAAAAACTGTGTATCTAAAAATAAGTAAAAATAGCTTGGTACTTTCAGTGCTTTTTAGACTTTCTGATGAATACCAAAGAATTTCATGTATTTGATCTCTGAAATTAAACTACATTTTAGTTTTAAAAGTACATTGTTCATTTTGGAAGTCTCTGTACCTTCAAGGCATAAGTTATAAAAATATATCAAAGAGATAAATATTACTTTTGTAATGAGGGAAATGTTTGGTTAATAATTGTCATGTAAAACAATATTTGGAGGGATTTCGGTGCTGATTACAGTGAAATCATGGAGAAGTTCATGTTTTTTTCCTAAAGAAATCATCTGAGACCACTTTACTCTTTTATTGTTATTCTAAATTTTTTTTCAAATCCATATATAATTAAAACCATACAATGAAAAAAAATATGATTAGAAATATCCAAGCATTTAGGTTTTTTATAGACCTAAAAGTGAATCGGGAAAACACGAAATCATATTGTTTGCTGCATACCGTTGATGGTTTCTTGGGCTTTCAATTGAATTTCAGTCCTAGTACATGATTAAAGTGCCTCAGAAGCTCCATTTAGAGAACCTTGAAGCTGGGCAAGGTTGTCATGCAAATTGAAAATTGTATTTGCATGTTTATGGGAAACAGGGGACTCAAAGAACATATAGTCAGCCTTCCATATCCACAGGTTCCACATCCATGAATTCAACCAAACACAGATGGAAAATATTTGAGGGGAAAAAAATTCCAGAAAGTTCCAAAAAGCAAAACTTGAATTTGCTGCAGGCCATCAATTATTTACAAAGCATTTACAATTCATTGGGTATTATAAGTAATCTAGAGATGATTTAAAATATATGAGAAGATGTGCATAAATTAGATGCAAACACTGTTTCACAGAAGTGACTCGAGCATCTGTGGTTTTCAGAATGAGCAGGAGTCCTGGAATCAATCACCTGTGGCTATCAAGGGACCACTCTATGTGCTTACATACAGTCCAGATGTGTCACTGTAAAGAAAGATACCCAAGTGTATAGAAAATCCAAATAACTAGTAGCTCAGACCTAAACATTGATAGGCATTCTGTTGAGGGAAAAAGAAGGTGTGAAATGTTTTAAGAAAGGAAATTAAGTTTAGATATTTTCAGATGTTAAATGCAAATGACCTTTTGATCCTAGAAAAAAAAATGTTCTTTTACATGGTTCATGGTTTTTCTATGCTATTTTAGTTGGGGTATAATTGCTTTACAATATTGTATCAGTTTCTTCTGTATAATAAAGTGAACCAGCTATATATGTATAAATTCCCCTCCCTCTTGAAGCCCCTTCCACCCCACCCCCCATCCTACCCATCTAGGTCATCCAGAGCATTCAGCTGAACTCCCTATGCTCTACAGCGGTTTCCCACTAGCTATTTTGTTGTGGTCCTTTAATGGACTGGAACCTGGTGGTACAGAGTCGACGATAAGTAAAAGAGAGAAAGAGGCTGATATTCCCTGGTTTACGCAGAGGACCAATAAAGCCCTTGACACAGGACTTGCATCGCTCACGAAGGCACCAGGCGCCCTCTCCAGGGGGTGAAGGCACAAGTGCCTTCTCGAGAGGGTCTTAGAAGCCCGGGCAGGAAAGCGAGCACAACGGGTCTCCATGCTCCAGAGAATCAGCCAGAAAAAGAGAGAGAGAGAGAGAGAAACAAAAAAGACACGGGGACCTAAGCTCTGATGGAGCAAAAGTGCTTTAATGATTTTTCTATGAGTATATATAGGCTGTGGTACAAGAAACTTCTTTCGGGAATGATAGAGATCAGAAAAGCAAACATACAGCAACCATTACCAAGGGATCAAGGGGTAAAGTTAGTCACAAGGTCAGGAGACAATCCATATCTCAAGAAAGGGGAGCGAGACTACGCAGTTTTGTCCTAAAGAGAATGTTTACTAAAGGTGACCCAAGGCTGCCTCACACAATGACCTCAGTCCCTGGGAGCAGCGTGCTGTTCCGCTTGAAGAAGGACAAAGGACTCATGAGAGACAGCACGTAGGAGTCCTCCCATCAAACATTCCCTGACACTATCTTACATTTTTGTTTTTATTATTCAGTTAGTCATGTCTTACTCTTCGAAACCCCATGAACTGCAGCACAACAGGCTTCCCTGTCCTTCACCATCTCCCAGAGCTTGCTCAAACTCATGTCCACTGAGTCGGTGATGCCATCTCATCCTCTGTCATCTCCTTCTTCTCCTGCCTTCAATCTTTCCCAGCATCAGGGTCTTTTCTAATGAGTCAGTTCTTTACATCAGGTGGCCAAAGTATTGGAGCTTCAGTTTCAGTATCAGTCCTTCCAATGAATATTCAGTTTATTTCTTTTAGGAGTGACTGGTTTGATCTCCTTGCTGTCCAAGAGACTCTCAGGAGTCTTCTCCAACACCACAATTAAAAACCATCAAATCTTTGGCGTTCAACCTTTATGGTCCAACTCTCACATCCATACATGACTACTGGAAAAACCATAGCTTTGACTAGATGGACCTTTGTTGACAAAGTAAATGTCTCTGCTTTTTAATACGCTGTCTAGGTTGGTGATAGCTTTTCTTCCAAGCAGTAAACGTCTTTTAATTTCGTGGCTGCAGTCACCATCTGCAGTGATTTTGGACCCCCAAAAATAAAGTCTCTATTTCCATTTTTTCCCCATCTATTTGTCATGAAGTGATGGGACTGGATACCTTGATCTTAGTTTTCTGAATGTTGAGTTTTAAGCCAGCTCTTTTACTCTCCTCTTTCACCTTTATCAGGAGGCTCTTTAATTCTTCTTCACATTCTGCCATTAGGGTGGTATCATCTGCATATCTGAGGTTATTGAATTTCTCCCAGAAACCTTGATTCCAGCTTGTGCTTCATCCAGCCCAGCATTTCACATTATGTACTCTGCATATAAGTTTAATAAGCAGAGTGACAGTATACAGCCTTCACATAACTCCATTCCCAACTTGGAACCAGTCTGTTGTTCCATGTCTGATTCTAGCTGTTGCTTCTTTTTTTTTTCCCCATTTATTTTTATAAGTTGGAGGCTAATTACTTTACAGTATTGTAGTGGTTTTTGCCATACATTGACATGACTCAGCCATGGATTTACATGTGTTCCCCATCCCGATACCCCCTCCCGCCTCCCTCCCCACCCCATCCCTCTGTGTCTTCCCAGTGCACCAGCCCCGAGCACTTGTCTCATGCATCCAACCTGGGCTGGTGATCTGTTTCACCCTAGATAATATACATGTTCCGATGCTGTTCTCTCTGAACATCCCACCCTCGCCTTCTCCCACAGAGTCCAAAAGTCTGTTCTGTACATCTGTGTCTCTTTTTCTGTTTTGCATATAGGGTTATCATTACCATCTTTCTAAATTCCATATATATGTGTTAGTATACTGTATTGGTCTTTATCTTTCTGGCTTACTTCACTCTGTATAATGGGCTCCAGTTTCATCCATCTCATTAGAACTGATTCAAATGAATTCTTTTTAATGGCTGAGTAATATTCCATTGCGTATATGTACCACAGCTTCCTTATCTGTTCGTCTGCTGGTGAGCATCTAGGTTGCTTCCATGTTCTGACTATTATAAACAGTGCTGTGATGAACATTGGGGTGCACGTGTCTCTTTCAGATCTGGTTTCCTCGGTGTGTATGCCCAAAAGTGGGATTGCTGGGTCCTGTGGCAGTTCTATTTCCAGTTTTTTAAGGAATCTCCACACTGTTCTCCATAGTGGCTGTACTAGTTTGCATTCCCACCAACAGTGTAAGAGGGTTCCCTTTTCTCCACACCCTCTCCAGCATTTATTGCTTGTAGACTTTTGGATAGTAACCATCCTGACTGGCATGTGATGGTACCTCATTGTGGTTTTGATTTGCATTTCTCTGATAATGAGTGATGTTGAGCATCTTTTCATGTGTTTCTTAGCCATCTGTATGTCTTCTTTGGAGAAATGTCTATTAAGTTTTTTGGCCCATTTTTTGATTGGGTCATTTATTTTTCTGGAATTGAGCTGCAGGAGTTGCTTGTATATTTTTGAGATTAATCCTTTGTTGCTTTGTTTGCTATTATTTTCTCCCATTCTGAGGGCTGTCTTTTCACCTTGCTTATAGTTTCCTTTGTTGTGCAGAAGCTGTTGCTTCTTGACCTGCAAATAGGTTTTGCAGGAGACAGGTAAGGTGGTCTGATATTCCCATCACTTTAAGAATTTTCCACAGTTTGTTGTGATCCACACAGTCAAAACTTTAGTCAGTGAATTGAAGTAGATGGTTTTTTTTTCTGGAATTCTCTTGCTTTTTCTGTGGCCTAATGGATGTTGGCAATATGATCTCTGGTTTCTCTGCCTTGCCTATGTGATGGTAGTTTGGTTTAGTCACTAAGTCGTGTCCAACTCTTGTGACCCTGACTGTAGCCCACCAGGCTCCTCCCTCCATGGAATTTCACAGGCAAGAAGTACTGGGCGGTATTTCCTCAGTATTTCCTTCTCCAGGGGTTTTTCCTGACCCAGGGATCAAACCTGGGTCTTCTGCATTCATTGCAGGCATATTTCTTACCGATTGAGCCACCAGAGAAGCCAATACTATTTTATACATGGTAGTGTACATATGGGCTTCCCTACTGAAAAGAGTCAGCCTGCAATGGGGAAACCTGGATTTGATCCCTGGGTCAGGACAATCCTCTGGAGAAAGGAATGGCTACCCACTCCAGTGTTCTTGCCTGGAGAGTCCCAAGGACAAAGGAGCCTGGTGGGATTCAGTATATGGGATCACAAGAGTCGGACATGAATTAGTGACTAAACCACCACCAATATTTTCTTTAATGAATATTTAATCTGAAGATTTTGTTTGACTCTGTTTTACTCCACTTGTCAATGATTTGTTGTTGTTGTTTAGTCACTAAGTTGTATCCAACTCTTTTGCAACCCCATGGACTGTAGTCTGCCAGGCTCCTCTGTCCGTAGGATTTCCCAGGCAAGAATACTGCAGTGGGTTGCCATTTCCTTCTCCAGGGGATCTTCCCAGCTCAGAAATCAAACCTACATCTCCTGCTTGGCAGACGGATTCTTTACCACTGAGCCACCAGGTCTTAAATACAGTTTTGACATATCTTAGTCTCAACACAATACCCACTCACAGGGCTCTTTGAAGGAGCAAATTAAACAGAGTGGGTGAGACAGCACCTGGTTAACCTTAAACTGTTATATAACTGTAAATAGTGTTATTTCTATAAGATAAACTAGCATAGATATATAGCATTCTATGAATAACTTATTAAAACTTACAGTGCACTAGGTATTGTGTTGTGATTAGTTAACATTAATATATGATAAGGAGAACTCTGCCATTTATTGAACAATCATCCTGTAGTCTATTTGATCAGCCCCTGTGATCTATGATCTTATACTCACCACACTTTGCCTCATTCATTACTGGAACTGCATTGGCTTCTAGATATTTCTGGAAAACCTTTGTTGAGTCTCACTTCAGAACTTTTCTATTTTCCATTCCAACTATCGAAACCCTCTGTTCCCTAGTCTTTAGGGCTCACACTGTCCCTTAATTGAAATATTTTCTTAAACATCTTTTCCTGTGAGAAGCCTCCTCAGATTAATCCTGTTCTTATTTCCCTGGTTTATTTAATAATTTCTCATCTTCTCATTAGAATGTAAAGTCAGCAATACAAACACTTTTTTTGTTTTGTTCAGTGTTTTATTTTTAGCACCTGGATCAATGACTAACAGCTAGTGCATACTCAATAACTTATTGTTGAAGATAATAAAGATGCGTCCTGCACCATTCTAGATGAGGTACATGAGAGTGCTCAGTCGTGTCTGACTCTTTGGGACCCCATGCTCTGTAGCCCTCAGGCTCCTCAGTCCATGGAATTTTCCAGGCAACAACATGAGGAGGTTGCCATTTCCTCCTCCAGGGGATCTTCCTGACTCAGGAGTTCAACCCTGGTCTCCTGCATTTCCTGCATTAGCAAGCAGATTCTTTATCAGTGAACCACCTGGGAAGCCCCTATGTGATCTCAGTTGATAATAATTCTCACAACTACATGAAACAGCATTGATAAAATATAGCATGGTTGTAGTATAAACTTTAGTTCTTTCACACAACAGCAGCACTCTCTTATTAGTGTGGATTTTATGCTTTACCTTTTAGGCGTGGTTTTAATTATCTTGTTATGAAAAATAGTATTTTAAATATAACTGAAATGATTTCAATGTGCCACTTTTTTCTCATCAGTAAGATGTCTCTTTTTCAGACCACAGATAAATATAAGAGTCAGTGTGCATTCTGGAACTACCTACCTGACACCATGAATGGCAGCTGGTCTTCAGAGGGCTGTGAGCTGACATACGCGAATGACACCCACACCTCATGCCGCTGCAACCACCTGACACATTTTGCAATTTTGATGTCTTCTAGTTCTTCTATTGTAAGACAATTCCCCACTTCATATTTCTAAATCTGTCTTTGCTTTTTTCTTGTTTTTTATGTTGTTCAAGAGAATAATTAATTTTTATATGTTCTTTGGATGTAAATAACATATTTAATTAATTGATATGATCTCAGCATTACCTTTTTTAGTCTTTCTTTTCATACCTGCGTTCTATGACATATCTAATTTAAATCTTTGTTTTTAGTGTAAGACTTACCAGTCTGTAATAGCTAGTAGATTGTATATCAGATTTCTATCCAGACTTTAGTTTTTAATGCTGCTTTTAGGAACCATTTGTACATTTTAAAGGATCATGAACTTTAAGGGCTTTTGCCTTTGTATTGAAAGTTTATTTTTACTGGTGACAGATTCATTTAAATCTCTGATAGCTGGTCTATAAGTGTTAGCACACTTATAACAAATACAATTTTTTAATAATGTAGAATGCCTCAGGTTTTTAAACATGAAAAATCTCTCTGAAGTGAAAAGCTTCAGATTATGTATTTTACATCATAATATCTTGCTCGTACATCGTAAAATTTTTTTATTTTGTATTTTGTAATCTTTAGATTGCAGTCTCATTTCTATACAAAACTTAGAATTCACCAAATACTTATTATGACTAAATAAATCTGCCTAACCATAATGTCAGTGATAAAGGTTTTTTTTTTTTTCTGAATGAAACATAATTTTTTTCCTGAATGTTAAAGAAGATGCCTGTGTTATGTATATAAAACCATCTGGTTAGAGTGAAACCAAACTTTCCCATTTCAAAGTCTCTCACCTATACTGTTTTGTTATTCTATTTATGCAGCATTTCTGATACCTTTATTTAATGTGTTTAAATGAACTACTGCATAGAAATAAGACTTATTCTTGCCACCGATAAATCTGCGTTAATTAACCATTTTCACATTACAATAATGAATTGCCTTTCTAATATTAAGAGACCAATGGTGATAACATTGTTAAACCATATACTAATATATACTGTGCTTAGAAAAAAAATCACTAATTACAGAACTGTTAAAGTGCTATGTGATTTATATCAGATTTCTGTGAATATTAAGCATATTCAGAAGTACAAAGTTTTCTCATCTAAATGCACATTTGTATTTTTACATTTTAGGAACAGTTTGATTAATGTTTCACCAAAAAAGGAAGTTCATTATATGTTGTAGTTCCTTTGACAATCTACTGAGTTAAGTCTCTTAACAGCTGTATTATTATTTTCCCTTAGGGTATTAAAGATTATAATATTCTTACAAGGATCACTCAACTAGGAATAATTATTTCACTGATTTGCCTTGCCCTATGCATTTTTACCTTCTGGTTCTTCAGTGAAATTCAAAGCACGAGGACAACAATTCACAAAAATCTCTGCTGTAGCCTATTCCTTGCTGAACTTGTTTTTCTTGTTGGGATAAATACAAATACTAATAAGGTATGTAGATCTCTCTTACTCTCTGCTTTCTAAATTTTTACTTTCCTAAATATATGTGTAATAGAAACATGGATTGGAATTAAGGGCTTGGTGGGGCAAACACACTATATACTTTGTTCTTAACGCTTTTCTAAGTTTGAGAATGCTAACATATATTAGCAACTTGCTGATTAATTCCATTAACTACAGTGGCCTTCATGATGAACTATAAAAAGAAATAACCTTATTTTGGTTTTATTTGTTTGTTTCTACATGGCCATTAAACAAAAGTAGAGGGGAGAAAGATAGTTGAAAACAATGTTTATCGTATGACAGGGACAGAACACAAAAGTGGCTAGAATTCATAGGTTGAAATTTGATAAATTAGCTCAACCTAGTAACTGCACTTTTATAATAACCATTTTCCACCATCATTGATCTATATCCTTATCAAATATCCCATATTGATTTAGACTGGGTCATCCTAAGGTGGGATTAAACAAGCAATAACTTTACTAGGTGAAATGACTCTGAGAGAAGATGGGAAGAGAGAGACATGGAGAGCCATCAGACCAAGATGCAGGTCTGAGCCTGAGTGAAGAAGGAAAGAAGGAAGAAAGGAGTAGTGGTAGATGCACTTCGGGTTTCCCGGGTGGTGCTAGTGGTAAAGAATCCACCTGAGAATGCAGGATATGTAAGAAATGCAAGTTCAATCCCTGGGTCGGAAAGATCCCCTGGAGGAGACGGTATGGAAACCCGCTCCAGTATTCTTGCCTGGAGAATCCAACGGACAGAGGAACCTGGCGGGTTACAGTCCATGGGGTCACAAATAGTTGGACACAACTGAAGTGACTTACCACACATGCACAGAAACATTTTACAAGCTGAGGAAAGCTCAGCTTGCCTGTGAAAGTAGTCCTTTCAGAAGATCCTCAACCAAAGTCACATGGCAAGTCTCTCAAGAATAGTAATGTCTTGCTGTGCTCAGTCAGTGGCTGTCAGCAGTCAACCCTAAAGGAAATCAACCCTGAATATTCATTGAAAGGACCGATTCATAAGGTGAAGCCCCAATACTTGGGCCACCTGATGTGAAGAGCCAATTCATTGTTAGAGACTCTGATGCTGGGAAAGATTGAAGGCAAAAGGAAAAGGGGGCGGCAGAGAGTGAGATGCTTGGATGGCATCACCGACTCAATAGATATGAATTTGAGCAAACTCTGGGAGATAGTAAAGGAAAGGGAAGCCTGACATGCTGCAGTCCTTGGGGTCTCACCAAGACTGATGTGACTTCAGTTCAGTTCAGTCACTCAGTCGTGTCCGACTCTTTGCGACCCCATGAACCTCAGCATGCCAGGCCTCCCTGTCCATCACCAACTCCCAGAGTCCACCCAAACCCATGTCCATCGAGTCGGTGATGCCATCCAACCATCCCATCGTCTTTTGTCCCCTTCTCCTCCTGCCCTCAATCTTTCCCAGCATCAGAGTCTTTTCCAATGAGTCAGCTCTTCGCATCAGGTGGCCGAAGTATTGGAGTTTCAGTTTCAACATCAGTCCTTCCAATGAACACTGATCTCCTTTAGGATGGACTGGATGGATCTCCTTGCAGTCCAAGGGACTCTCAAGAGTCTTCTCCAACACCACAGTTCAAGAGCATCAATTCTTCAGTGCTCAGCTTTCTTTATAGTCCAACTCTCACATCCATATATGAGCACTGGAAAAACCATAGCCTTTACTAGATGGACCTTTGTTGGCCAAGTAATGTCTCTGCTTTTTAATATGCTGTCTAGGTTGGTCATAACTTTCCTTCCAAGGTGTAAGCATCTTTTAATTCCATTGCTGCAGTCACCATCTGCAGTGATTTTGGGCATGACTTAGGGAGTAAACAGCAACAACAACATCCATTGGAAATAGTGAGCACATCAGTGGCTTTCCTATGCAACTGCTGCAGCCCACCCTGCAGCTGGAGACCAGAGAAATTCATCAACATGGCCACAGAACCTTCAGTTGCCTCCATATTTCCATTCTTTTTAGTGATCTTCCAAGTAGTGGAGATAACCAGCAGTTATCAGGTTTTCTTCTGAAGTAGATGCCACAAAGCACCTATTTAATATAATATACACTAAATTGTAAACTCCATGTCTGTTTTTATTTGTTTTTCAATGGTATTTATAACATCATTCATTTTTGTGTATCCCCACTATCCTCCAATGCATAATTTGCCTGTCTTCATCCCATCATTATCCTCATCACAAAACTATTTTTTTCAGTCTTTCTTTTCAGTTCTACATTTCAGCTGTCAAATTTTCCCCATTTTCAAGCCATATTTCAAATTTCACTTCTTCACTAAAGTGGTTCCCAGATTTTAATCACCATCCCCAACCTTATATAGTGATCTCAAATATATTTTAGTAGGTAATCTCTTTATGGTTGAATTATACTCTATTAAGTGTAGTAAGTATCTGAATATTATGTTATCTCACCAGTAATTGGGTTGTGTGTGTGTGTTAGTCACTCAATCGTGTCTGACTCTTTGTGACCCCATAGACTGTAGCCCACCAGGCTCCTCTGTTCATGGAATTCTCCAGGCAAGAATACTGGAGTGGGTTGCCATTTCCTTCTCCAAGGGATATTCCTGACCCAGGCATCAAACCTGTCTTCTGCATTACGGGCAGATTCTTTACCATCAGAGCCACCATGGAGGCCCAATTTTGTTAGTTCTGTTAATACAGAAATGTATAACTGCTTCGTTTGTTATTTCTAACTGTCGTTCTACGTGTGAAGTCAGTACTGATAGATAACATTGTACTGAAATCCATCTCAAATTTACCTGTTAATCTTGTAACTTAAAGTGAATATATAGTGGATATTTTTGTAAAATATATCCTCATTTGTTCATATGTTTTATAAATTCAGTACTCTCTCTTATTTATTATGTTTTGTTTAACATAGTGTTAGCAGTAATTTTCATTCTTTGAGCATGATTAAAATAAAGACATCTGCAAAACAGAAATCAGCTCAAATCATAGCATAGTCACTGAGATAATCATGGTTGCATGTGACCAGTCCACAGTTTATCACATAAGTGTATAAAAAGTATAAATCTCTGGACAAGACTAGCAACTTGATTCTATTACAGGACTGATGAGTGTTGCACATTGATGAAGCACAGTTCTTTTAAATCAGGTGGAAGTGGTACAATTGAAAAACTTGACATTTGACAAGGATATTTTACTATGATCAAGCATTATATAAAATGGTATAATTTATAGAGAAAGTCAAGATTTTATGTTACAATAATGTTAAAATAAGCATTGTTTATGGTTTCTTTCTTTCTTTGTTGTCTAGCTCTTCTGTTCCATCGTTGCTGGGCTGCTGCACTATTTCTTTTTAGCTGCCTTTGCATGGATGTGCATTGAAGGCATCCACCTCTATCTCATTGTTGTAGGAGTCATCTATAACAAAGGATTTTTGCACAAGAATTTTTATATTTTTGGCTATCTCAGCCCAGCTGTGGTAGTTGGATTTTCAGCATCATTAGGATATAGATATTATGGCACCACCAAAGTGTAAGTTAAGATGTTCTCATAAATATTTGATATGCAATTCTGATTAAGCTGTGTGTATCACTGAAACTTTTGCTTTGTCAAAGTACATACAAACATAAGTATAGATTTTATCTCTTATTTCCTTTTCAGATGTTGGCTTAGCACAGAAAACAACTTTATCTGGAGTTTCATAGGACCAGCCTGTCTAATCATTCTTGTAAGTATATTTTAAAATTGTGGTTAGAATTCAGAAAAGTATTGATTTAAAAGTGCTTAAAATTCTCAGCAATCAGTCATTACTTTGAGAGGAAAAATTATTTTGAGCACTTTACAATAAATCATTTATTAACGCTATATATATTGTTTCACTAATAAGAAAAAATGTGCATCTTAAACTCAAAGCTGTTACAGTCCACTTGCATCTCTTGGGAGGATGTATTTTTGCATTACTTGTAAGAAAAGCATTTTTCACTTATCGCTAGTATCTCAGCATACTTCAGTACTGAGAGTGTGCCAACCAGCTGATAATCTGGCATTTCAGATGTTTACGTTATTTAATCTTTTATCAATGATCAGTGATCTTTGAAGATTAGACTGTCATCTTTATAGTTTTATCATCCTTATGTACCCTGTCATCACGAAAGTGATTTCAAACTAAATTGCAACATCAGAGACAAGAACCCACTATTTCCCATGAGCAGACAAGTCATATATTGATAGCCCTATTTCAGTTGGGAAGAGGGCCTTTTAATTCTTATTGGAAGTGGTTTCAAACCTACAAATTTGGCAGGTGTTATATGTTCCATTCTAAATAAAGACATTTTTATATGTCTCCGGAGCATCTCTAAGTGCCGTTAAGTTTTCAAAGCCATTCTGAATATAATAGTCTGTCAGTGAATCTGGGAGGTCTGACAATGCTCTACAATAGAATGAATTGTTAATGGGGGATTTGTGACAATATTTTGGACAACTTTGTCTCATATGTTTTGACCATAAGTTAGGTATATTTTTGAATTTTTTTCCCCTCAGTCTTTTCCCATGTGTTTTTATGGTTGTGAGGAAGCTGCTAAATGGAAAAAGACTTGAAATGCAAGGCAGAGGATTTTTATCAAGGTTTATTTTTTAATGGCATGAGTGAAAGTGCATTTAGAGACTATATATTTCCTAAACATTGCAGAAAAATTGCTTATAATTCTGACAGTGAATCTAGCAATAGAAAAAGAAAACATAGGCAAGATTTCAGCTAAAACAGTTTCAGAGTTAATTTAGAATTGCAAAATTTTCAACTATGTGATAATATAGGTTGAATATGTCCCATCCATGTATTTTCATGTGTTTCCCTGATATGGGTATTTTGTGTGTAGGCCCTGTCTATATATTCTTATTGTACTTATTCCTTCTCTACAGAGTGAACTGTCTCTAATACTGTTTTGTACAAGTGAAAGTTTTATGGATCAGTCATCCTTAGAGTTTAGAGGAACGTAGTAGGCTAGGAATTTTCTGAAAACAGGACAAAATAGCAAGCATACTTCTCTAAAGTAAGAAATGGAAAGTTTTCCCTGAAATTATTTTTTACTCTTGCTGCTATAAGGGGAGAGATAACTTTGGATTCTCTTATGGCAAGATGGACGGACTTTAGAAAGGACATCCAAAAATGAGTCCTCTAAACTTTCCTAGGAACCTAAATGAACAGGGTCACACTGTCCTAGTCTGAAATCAGTGAACCAATGTGTCTTCCATACAGTTTCTGTATATTAATCATTCCATTTAACTAGAGGTTCAGCTATTTAAGAAATGGATAAGGCCCCTTAGTTTTACTCTAAAACTGAATACTGTTTATCTTTTATGTATGTTTAAAACAGCATAAATTATTTAATTATTGAATGAAAGTGAATTCCTTTACTCTAGTTATATCATTTTCTGTGCTAATGCTGGCATATTATTATTAAGCAGTATGATACATTAGGTAAAACTTTTCCTGTTTTCCGAAAATAGTATTGAGTTCAATGAGTAAAAGAAGTATTGAGCACCCGATATTTAAAAAAGAGCCACCAATAATTTGGACCTGATACTTTCCAGGAATCTTACAAAGAGACAGTAGGACCAGCTATAACCCAGTAAGGAGATTTGAGAGGTGGTGGGAGTGAGAGAGTCATGACTTGGAATTAGGAGTCCTTGGCCTGTAAGGGAGTGCATTGTTCTTTGTGTAAAGATTTTCCTTACCTTACCAGTGAAAAAAAATAAGTGCTCCCCCTAGTTCTTCCTGAAGACGAGTTGTAGAGCAGTACTGCAAAAGGTCTATAGACAATGGAATTAGAAATAGTAAAATAGTAAAAACCCTCATCCTGATCCCAGATTGAATGCCAGGGGAATTTTTATTTCTCCTTGATATGCAAGAGGAGAGTATGAACAGTTTTTATGACAACTTGACATATGTCCCCTGGCTTTGGGTCAAGGGTGAACATACAACATAGAGTTGCTTTTAGTTCCCTGCAGACTGCATGGTTATTGTCCATTCCCTTGACAGCAGGGAGGAAAAGGATTATTATAGAGTGTGCCTGGGAATTAAATGATGGGGGTAACACACAAAGGGTTCAGCTATCTTATGGGTACAGAATATTTAGACAAGGGAAAGTTGTAGGGGTACACAGAAGGTTGTTAGGTCAAGTGAAGTTATACTCAACAAGAGAATAGGTTGAGGACAGGGATGTTGAATGGTAGCATGGCTAGCGCTCTCTGAAAATAGGAGTTAAGATAGAAATAAAACACTATAAACATTCAGATAAGCTTACCATCTAAGTGGAGGCCAACACACAAACCAAGATTGTTGTTGTGGAACTGCTCAGTCGTGTCCAGTTCTTTTGCGACCCCATGGACTGTAGCCTCTCAGGCTCCTCTGTCCATGGGATTTCCCAGGCTAGAATGCTGGAGTGGGTTGCCATTTCCTCCTCCAGGGGGGTCTTCCCGACCCAGGCATCGAACCAGTGTCTCCTGTATTGGCAGGCATATTCTTTACCCCTGAGGCACAGGGGAAGCACACCAAGACTACCAGCAGTAGTAAGAACCAAACTAAACCAAAGTGATGTCATGAAGTGCTCTCTATCACCAAGAGCTGATCAAACCCTTCTAGTCCCCTGCAGCAGAGGAGCTGTGCTTTATGAATGGAGGAGCACATCCTAGAACCAACCTTGCCACTCCACAACAATCATCTACACAGAATTACTGAATTGAAAATTATCATCCTATGTTGGGGCGTATTCTAGTAGGAAAGGGTGCCAAGCCATATCATTAAGTTCACTGTCTTAATTGAGTGATCTGGGCATGATGGGAAAACAAAGGAATTATAAGAATTATGCTCTGTCCACTATAGTATTAGTGAGGAGAAAGCAAGTTGAAACAAATGCAAAGCATAACATATAATTAAATATAAGTGATAACTGGTGAGATCTGAGAGACATCAACATGGGCTGGACCACATCAATGAGATGAGTAACTCATTTGTGGATGGGGTGAGAAACAGTCTACTGTACATACACTGGATTCTTAGTGTGAACTTAAGTGTCTCCTAAGCAGCCCTGTAAGCTTGCCAGATTCCTTCTGAAGGAAAACAAAGGGCACAGACAAAATAGTTGCTATTGTAAATAAGGAATTCCAGAAATCACAAAATTATCATGTTATTAAAAATATTCAAAAATCATATTTTCATAGATACATCACTCCTTAAGTCTATGTGTCATTAATTGTTTATCAACTTTCCCACCCTGAACTTATCCATTTCTTCTCTACTTTCATAATCAGACATTTGTTATCATGTTGAGTTATAGTATTAATAACAATAATAGGAATTTAAATTTACAATTTATTGAGCAGCTACTAATTTTAAAAAGACAACTAATATTTCACTATTCAGTCTCCTTAAATCATCCACCCACATTGTTATTGTCCCATTTTATAGTTAATGAAAAGTAGAATTTGATTCAAATTGCTAAGTGATGGGCCCCAAGACACTACAAATAAATGAGGCTAGAACTTGAAACTAGATCTGTATTAATTAAAGCTCATCTTTTCATTTTAACTTGCCACTTTTGCAATTGCCTTCTAATCTGACATTCTGTTGGCATTCTGTCCCATTTCATTTTAATCTATTCATAATCAACTGCCCCAAACTCAGCTCACATAGTGGGAACTATTAATAAGAAAAATAAGAACATTAATATTAAGCTCTTTTATTCCTGGTAATAAGTGTGTTAGTGTATTTAATCTAATCCTTCAACAACTCAAAAATGTATATGTGTGATGTATTTTAAAGTTGGAGAAATTGACGTATACAGTGGTTACACAATTGGCCCAAACGCCACTAAGTTCATAAAGCAGGAACTCGGGTTCATGAGTTTGAATCCATGTCCTACTTTCTTCATCTCAGTGCCAATAGTTTCCCTTGACCTATAGTTCAAATAGTGCTTCCCTGTGGCTCAGCAGTAAAGAATCTGCCAGCAATGCAGGAGACATGGGTTTGATCCCTGGGTTGGAAAGATCCCCTGGAGAAGGAAGTGGCAACCCATTCCAGTATTCTTGCTTGAGAAATCCAATGGACAGAGGCGCCTGGTGGGCTACAGTCCATGGGGTTGCAGAAGAGTTGGACACGACTTTAGCAACTAAACCACCACCACATGTTTCAAATACCATTGACTGGTATATAGAGTTATCAGTAACTTAGCTGAGCCCTGTCTATTTTCAGTCCGTTTTTACACTTCTTGTCTCCACTAAACAACTCTTATAAAAACATTATCCTCTTTAGAATATTTACTGCTCCTTGGATATTTCCTTCATTCTTTTCAGTCAATAATCCTACCGCCTTGTGATGCCTGAAATCAACATGATCCTTTCTTCAACATGATCCCACAGAACTTTGATTCAAGTCCTAAAGAGTACAATGCTTTGCTTTCACCTGGTAACTTTCTCTGTGCATTACACTCCTCATCTCCAACGTCCAAACACCCAAAGAGCTGTGAGTCTCTTGGTTCACTAACCATAACTTGTTCAATAATCAGTGCCACTGGTTGCATGACCTTAGGGACCACAGCCCAATGAGTTGCAAATGAATTTTCTACAGAGCAACATTCACAATACTTACTATGCATGAGCAGACTCTACACTGTAAAACTATCAGCCCTCTCTTTGGTTACTCCAGAACACAGAAGGTAGAAAGTCCTTAAT